AAAAAATATTCAACTATTCGTTCCTGAGATTTTTTTTTTGGATGAAGAATGAAAAGAGAGAAACTTTGATGAAAAGAAGGAAATGATCTGATTAGATTTAATTTTAACGAAATTGAGTTTATTAAGGATTAAAAATAATGTTAATTTGTTTGGATTCCTTATTTAGTGCTAATCATTAATTATCTATAATAATTTCAAATTAAATAACAGCCCACAAATTCAGTCTTTTAATTTATTGTTTTTTAATTCCGTTTTTAAAAAAAAACAATTTTGTTTATTTATTATTATTTTTTACAGTTTTTTTCCAATTAATAAAACATTTCTCTTTTTGGTGAATTTGTTAAAACCTGAAATTTTAAATGCTATAACTTGAAACTGAAACTCTACTGCTATAGCTCGAAAATAATACTATAATATATGTTATATATGAAATTTTCACATTAATTAATTCTATGTAACATAAAATTTAAATTAGTCCGCCAGTAAATATCGCATACCAAATGATTATAGAAAAATATTTCTTATTTAAGTTCTATTTCTTTTTTTTTTTACTTAAAATGAAAGATAATTATCTATAATTATTGAAAAATATTTCGTATTTAAGGTTTCTTTCTTTTTAACTTGTGACGGAGTATTTTGGGGATTATCATTGGCTTTAATTGGTCTTTCAAAATGAATTAAAATAATAGAAAAATATTTTGTCTTTAACTTCTCTTTATGTATTATTTTTAGAGAAGGATTATGTGAAAGGTTATAGAAGATTTACTAATATTTAAGTTTTCTATCTTTTTTATTTCTGATGGATATATATATATATATATATATATATATAAAATAAAGTTGTTCCATGATAAAGTAAGAGAGTGGGTCCCATTATTTATGACATATAAACATGGTTGGAATGTGTTAGCCATCACAAAACAAAAGGTACAATTGTACTAGCAAAGAACTAAGAAGTGGTTGTGTCTTATAAAAGCAAAGAATCAACTTTGGAAAAGCATGAATCGACCAAAATAGCCTCAAATTGAATACTCCCTCCGTCCCTTTTTACTTGTCCATATTTCCTTTTTTAGATGTCCCTATTTACTTGTCCATTTTGACAAATCAAGAAAAGACAACAAATTTTTTCCTATTATACCCTTATTTCCCTCCAATTTATTTCACTTGAATTCAAAGAAGTGGTTGTAATTTTGAAATGAAAAGTTGTCATAAGGGTAAAATTGTAACTTCACTGTGCTAATCATTGTTGCCTTAATCTGTGTGCCATTTCTAAAGTGGACAACTAAAAAGGGACGGAGGGAGTATCAATTTCAATTAACATGCATATTGACAGAGAGGAGGCTGCTTATTTTTCTTTCTTCGATAGCAATCGTCTCATTTGTTCTTTTTCTTTTTCTTTTTATTTGACAATTAGGTTTGCCTATTTACTCTTACCTATTGTATGAGGAAGACAAGACTAAAATGGTTAGACATATGAAGAAAGATGTGAAATACAATGAGGTGTGAGAGATCGAATATGGTGAGCTTGAGGAGAAGTAAAAGTTGACCACAAAAGTATTGGGAAAAGATAATTATACAGGACATGACATATGAACTGCAACCTACCGAGGACATGTCTCTATTATTTTCAGCATAACTACTTCTTCATTATTGTATTTTCTTTTCATATTATTTTTTATGTGTTACTTAGGCCAAAGGTTTATAAAAAAACCCTCTACCTTCACACGACGAATAAGGTTGCGTACATATTTCCCTCTCTAAAACTGTATTCTTACCTTTTAAAGAATAGAGAGACTGTTGATATACCGTGAGTTTATGGTATTTTAATACATTTCACTTAAGAGTTGTGTATGTCTAGGGCCTTTTTGTATTAATTTTTATGTGTTTTTATTGTGTTTTTGCAGGAAATATGTTTGGACGCAAAAATAAAGAGACAGCTGGAAGATGTGCAGAAAAGGGCATCTACGGACCGTAGGTCCATTGACGCTCCATAGATGGTGATCGTAGATCAGCAGGCAAGGCATGGAAGGCAAATCAGGGAAATCTGACCAAGTGTGGAACCACGGTGGCCATTGACGGTCCGTAGAATGATACTACGAGGGTTCCAGTACCTGATTTTTGAATATTCTAAGTGTGGAGCTACGGAGAGGGTCGACGGACCGTAGATCGATCTATGGTACGTACTGGTGGTCCGTCGTTTGCTTCAGAGAAGTTGAGTTTTGGAAGCTGAAAATATTGCATAAGTCCTGGGTGATGGAGGGGACTCACGGACTGTAGATCCATTGGCGGACCGTGAGTCAGTCTCGTGGAATGACGACGCATACCCGAACATAATTTCCTTATTTCATTTCCTTTTTAGTTAGGACTTATTTTTCTATATATAGGGCATGAAAACCTCATTTTT